ATAATAATAATAAGAATAATAATAATAATAATAATAATAATAATAAAATAATAATAATAATAATAATAATAAGAATAATAATATAATAATAATAATAATAATAATAATAATCTAATAATTAATAATAATAATAATAATAATAATAATAATAAGAATCATAATAATAATATAATAATTAATAATAGATAATAATCAATAATAAATCATCATAATAATAATATAAGAATAATAATAAAATAATAATTTATCATAATCATAATAATAATAATAATCTCATAATAATAATACATATACTACTAATAAATAATTACAAGGTCTGGCGGTAAGGGGACTTGCCGCCAGCAGTTTCAAACCCGCTACCGTACCGACGTAGACGTTACAGCCAGCAGCGCACGTATGGCCTAACCAACAGTTTAAGCTACTGATTTAACACAAAGGATAGTCAGTACGGCCAGCACGCCTTCCATTTATCCGGGCGTGGTTTTTGTATCTCTTCGCGCCTGAAGTTTCAACATTTTTAGGTAAACAATTACACCTACTTCTAAAAGAGAACAAAATTACCCAGAAATGGCGAAGGAACAAAATGAAGCCTCGGAATGTAACGACGTAATCGGGACTCGTCGCTATGCGACGAGGTCCGCGTCCGGCAGGGAGCGTAGGGGAAGGTCGCACCCGGTCGTCATCCAGCGAAATCCCCCCAACATCACCACATATACAAATACTTCACTGAATGACCTAACACAACACCACCAAGCGGTCAATGCTGGTAATAATGTTGCTGTGGACGCATCGCCCCAGCCCATGTTACCAGCCCATAGTAGACGGCAGAGAACCACTTGGACGACAGAAATGAATGAGTACGTGGTTCGCTGCTACTATAGAATTACCAAATTGCAAACTTCACAGGAACCTTATGGTGCTGAATTGCATAAATTAGTGACAGAAAAATTTCCCCAGTTAAGACAAAAGACACTGCAGAACATCCTAGACCAGCGCAGATCTATATTTGTGAACAGCAGATTGCCAGCGGAGAGAATAGATACAATTAGGCATGAAGTAGCAACCGAATTGGGCATGGTAAATGATGCACAGCAGAGTCAAGAGCAAGCAAATGACGCTCAGACTGAAACGCCAAGCTATTCGCCATCAGTGCTGGAGGAGGAATTTAGAGCCATCATAATGAGCTATGACGGTATAGATCCGACAAAAAAGCCTCGGCTACCCAAACTATTTTGCAACCCAACGGCAGCTAAAAACCTACGTGAAATGAACAGAATTATCGCTGCTGATATTAGCGACCAAACAGATTTTAAGGACCTACACGCCATGATCTATGCTGGGGCGTTCGCGGTTCTAAAGCTAAACGATCAGAGACCTACAGATGTTACAAGTCGGAAAGGAACTAAAAGGCAGCCAGCTTGGGAAAGCAGGCTAAGCAAGAACATAGATAATATCAGGAGCGATATAGCTATCCTAACGCAGTACCAAAAACCGACATACAGCCAAAGAGTGAAAAAGAAAGGGGACACAATAATGCGACGATATACATCGGAAGAAAACCCAACCATAGTCGAAGTTTTGGACCTTCTAAAGCAGAGACTATTAGCCTTATCTCAAAGAGTGAAGAGATATAAGAAGAGCAGCCAACGTCGTAAACAAAACATCCTATTTCATAGAAATCAGAGAGCATTTTATAAATCTGTGGGCAAAGAATCAGATCGTACACTACAAGGAAAAACATCATTTCCTAACACAGAAGACATAAGACACTTCTGGAGCGGTATATGGAGCAACCCCAGAGAACACAGAACAGCGCATTGGTATCAGCAAGAGAAGGCTAGAACTTCCATACAAGCAATGCTGTCTTGGACCATAACTAAGGATGATGTAGTGAAAGCAATAGGTAGGACTTCCAATTGGAGAGCTCCAGGGCCAGATGGTGTTCACAATTACTGGATAAAGGCATTTACTTCCACCCACCAACAACTTGCGAAATGCTACTCAACATTCCTCGAGAGGCCGGAAACTATCCCAGAATTTCTAACAACAGGAGTTACATACCTGATCCCAAAAACTGAACAATATACTGCTGATCCCGCAAAATACAGGCCAATTACTTGCCTTTCTACAGCGTATAAACTCCTTACTGCTATATTGGCTGACAAAGTACATAATCATTTGGAACGTAACAACTTATTGGATGAGGAACAGAAGGGATGTCGGAAGGGCTCAAGAGGATGTAAAGAACAACTGATAATCGATGAAATAATAACGGGTAGTGCCAGAAAAAAGAAGTCGCCCTTGTTCACTGCATACATCGATTATCAGAAAGCATTTGATAGTATTCCACATTCATGGTTAACGGAAGTGCTACACCTTTATGGCATAGAAAACCATATCGTGAAACTATTGACCTATGCAATGTCCAAATGGAAAACGCGTCTCTGTCTTAACACCCCAGACTCGCAGATAGATGCTGGAGAAGTCAGTATAAAACGAGGGATCTTTCAGGGCGACTCTCTAAGCCCGCTATGGTTTTGCCTAGCTTTACGCCCACTAACATCGCTGTTAAACAGTCAAGAAAAAGGCGTAAAGATTGCCGAGGATGGTACACAACTATCTCATCTTTGGTATATGGATGATCTGAAATTATTTGCAGAGAAGAAGGATCACCTACATGCGCTGTTGGATTGTGTGAGCAGATTTAGCAAAGATGTGCAAATGACGTTTGGTTTAGATAAATGCCGCATAAGTTGCATGACTAAAGGTAAGTGGACAGAGCATGAAGGGTATAAAGTAAGAGGGTCGCAAGGGGAGATCATCAATATGCAAAGGGATGAACGCTACAAATACTTAGGCTACCTCCAGGCACCAGACATAGACCAAAAAATGTCGAAGCAAAGATCTACCGACGAATACTTGAGAAGATTAAGGATCATTCTTAAATCAGAATTGTCTGCTATAAATACGTCTGTTGCAGTGAACGCCTATGCAGCGTCAACGCTTACCTACACCTTCGGTATACTCAAATGGACTGATACTGAGCTGAAAGCCCTAGATATAAGTACCAGGAAAGAATTCCGTCGGTATAGGGCGCATCATCCTAAAAGTGCAATAGAGCGCTTCCACTTAGCACGGCGCGAAGGAGGAAGAGGAATCCCCAGTATGGTGTCCAGACATTACCAGCAAATTGATAATCTAAGGACATACTTCTTGGAAAAGGCGAGTAGTAGCAGAATACATCAGGCACTAGCCAACAGAGATAAGGGCATTACCCCACTGAACCTAGCCAACCTAGCTCTCAATCCATCCGCGATGGTGTCATCACCCCCCGAACTGATCGAGAAGTGGAAATCCAAGCCACTACATGGACGCTATAGAACGCGAATTGAAGACCAGGCAGTAGACACCAAAGCATCCCAAGAGTGGGTGCGTTCCAGTAATCTGTTCGTGGAGACAGAGGGGTTTGTGATGGCTATTCAAGACCAAGTGCTGCCTACGAAAGTCTACAGAAAGCGAATAATGGGAGAAAATATAGACAATATCAAATGTAGAATCTGTGGAGGTAAAGACGAGAACCTAGACCACATTATCGCAAGCTGTTCCACACTCGCCCCAAAACAGTATCTAGAAAGACATAACGACGTGGCAAAAATAATCTACTTGGAACTGGTCAAGCGCTATCTCAATGAAGGACCTACTGAGCCATACTATCGCTACACGCCCCTCCCAGTTAAAGAGACTGGGTCACACAAAATGTATTGGAACAGGAAAATAATCACAGACCGCACAATACCAAACAACATCCCTGACATAGTGCTAACGTTAAAAGAGCAAAAGATAACATACATTATAGATATCGCGGTTCCGCTCCCTGTCAACCTTCAAAGTACCTACTCAGAAAAAATCAACAAGTATCTACCACTGTCAGAAGAAATAAAGCGGATGTGGGGAATGAATACAGTTACGATTGTACCGATAGTTATTGGCGCAACAGGTGAGGTCCTTAAGAAGTTACACACAAGTCTTGAAAAGTTAGACCTTGACCAACATGTTTACAAAAAAATTCAGAAAGCCGCTTTACTGGGGACATGCAGAACAGTCCGTAGGGTCCTGGCAGGCGAAAACTCGACATTGTAACGTGCAAAATTGGTAGTTGCCTTCAAAATGCTTACATCCTCTGGTGCAAACCTGGATTAAGCATATCAAACCCTCTCAGAGGAGATGATTGAATGAACAAATAATAATAATAATAATATAAGAATAATAATAATAATAATAGATAATAAGAATAGAAGATAATAATAATAATAATAATAATAATAATAATAATAATAATAATAATAATATAATAATAAGAATAATAATAATAATATACTAATAATAATAAGATAATAATAATAATAATAATAATAATAATAATAATAATAATTATAATAATAATAAATAATAATAATAATAATAATAATATATAATAATAATAATAATAATAATATAATAATAATAATAATAATAATAATAATAATAATATAATAATAATAATAATAATAATAATATAATAATAATAATAATAAATAATAATAATATAATAATCCTACTTATAAGAATAATAATAATAATACTAATAATAATATAATCATCATAATAATAATAATAATCATAATAATAATAATCATAATACTAATAACCCCGCAGGGGGTATCTACTTTAAGGTCGGGTCTACGACCCGGGCTTAAGGGAAGGTACATGGGGAGCGTCGCCCCCACGGCCCTAGACGGGGAGTTCGGGATTTGGTAGTCTTCCTATTCTGCCAAACCCTGAGCTGCACCATTGTTCGGAGGCAATGTGAAAAATAATTAACTGTAAATGAATACGAGAAGTAAGACGAAACTACGAGGCGGGAAGGTGATTGAGGCTGGTCCCTTCTTCGGAAACCGTCGTGATGCTCAGCCTGAAGGGAGTGAAGGTGTGCTGGGTGGCGCATCCTCCCGGATTAACAGCACCCTAGGCTATAGACAAAGAAACGAGAATGAACAAAACCAAGACTACGCAGCTGTGGTAACACAGGCAAACGCAACATACGCCACTAGATCAGTAACACAAAGGACCCTTCAAACCGGACTCAACACCATAACGATCACAGAAAACCATCCGGAAAGAGCTGCTGGTTACCCTGATGAACATGGTCAGAGCCCAGCATCACTTGAACAACGCTCTAAGGAGAATCGAATAAATCAACTTACTAAAAGGCCTTGGAGTTATGAAGAAATTAACGAACTGATGTGGTGTTACTACTATACCAATGCAAAGCAATCAATAGGCGAAGCAGAGGTTTATAACATGTGGAGAAGTAGGAATCCTAATAGCAGACCGTACATGGATTCCAAGAAGCTCGCAACGCAGCGCAGATATCTACTGAACAGCGGAAAATTTAATGAAAATATGATAAGAGCGATGAAAAGTAAAGTAAGCGAAACAATACGGATCGAAGTGAGAGAGCAACGTGAGTTGGACTCAGTGACAACTGAGCCGGATACAGAAGATATGAGTGAAGATCAAACAGATAATACTATCAAACAGGAGATTCTCGAAGAATACGTTTCTACGAAATCTTCACCCATAAACGAGAGACTGAAACTACCAAAACTCCAAGATAACATGAAACTAAAGATGATAGTAAAACAAGCAAACGAAGCAGTTTCACAAATCTTGGAAGAAACACTGATTGAAAATATTACGGAGGTTAACCACCTATTGTATGCGACAGCAAAAATAGTAACAATGAAAGTAAGCCCACATCAAAACTTAACTGAAGAACCAATCAGACACCTACAAAATAGATACACCGAGACTTCTGCCCCCTGGGAGAAGCGAATAGAGGCCAAGATCACAAAACTCAGATCCGATCTCTCAATCCTCCATGAAGAAGATAACTCAAAATTGAGAAATGCAACAAGAAGAAAGTTAGAACAATTGAAATGTCGATACAGCATAAACAATTTAGAAGACCGGGTAAGAGTAGAAGAACAACTAAAACAAAAGATACAGGCTTACGCCCAACGTAGAAAGCGGTATAATAAAAGAGTCGCATTCCGCAGACAGAATTATTTATTCCAATATGACACCAGAAGGTTATACCAAGAACTTAATGGAACAGCTGAGAGACCGCAAGACGTGCCGGGAGAGACAGATGTAGTACACTATTGGTCGGAAATCTGGCGCAGGAAGGAAATTATCGACGAGAACACGGAATGGATGAAGGAAACTATTGACAGTTATCAGCACCTAGAACGCATGACGACCGGTGAAAGCATCACGGAGAAGGAAATAAAGGATGTACTCAGTAAAGCTGCCAACTGGAAAGCCGGTGGGCTTGACAGAATCCATAATTACTGGTTAAAGAAGATAAGTGCCATCCATAAAACATTAGCGGTAATCTTAACAAAAATACTAAAAGGAGAAGAAGATCTGCCCACGTGGATGAATAGTGGCATCACGTATCTTATTTACAAGAAAGGAGACCCTTCTAAGCCAGAAAATTACAGACCCATTACTTGTTTATCCGTACTGTACAAATTACTAACTGGGATAATGTCGTCTCGTATATATGACCACCTAATAGCTCAACAGTTGATTCCAGCTGAGCAACGAGGATGCTGCAAAGGTTCATACGGATGTAAAGATCTACTATTATATAACAAAAAGATAATGAAGGACGTACACAGTAAAAAGAAAAATCTATCATTATGCTGGATAGATTATCAAAAAGCTTACGATAGCGTACCACACCAGTGGATATTGAAAATACTTAAAATATTCAAAATTGACCCAAACATCATCAATCTGTGTGAAAAAAGTATGAAGGAATGGAACACCCAGCTAAAGATACAATCTAAGGATGCACCTATCAATAATACCCGGCAGATTAAAATCGAATCTGGAATATTCCAAGGAGATTCACTATCACCTCTCCTGTTCTGCATGATGATGTACCCCCTGTCCAGAATGCTAAATCAAAAGCCAAAATTGGGATATAAACTACTCAAAGATGAGCAGCCAACAACACATCTTCTGTACATGGATGATTTAAAGCTATACGCGAGTTCGGACACAGCGCTTGAAGAGCAAATTAAGATAGTTCACGACTTCAGTAGCACAATTCATATGAACTTCGGATTAGATAAGTGCGCCAAAGCGACAATAAAGAACGGAAAAGTGGAAAAAACGGAAAACATAACAGTCCAGGCAAATATTACCATCAGAAACCTAGATGCTGGAGAAAGCTATAAATATCTTGGAGTTTATGAAAACCCAGAATTGTGTAATGATGAAATGAAAGAGACCATCAGTAAAGAATATCTAAGAAGGCTTAGGATAGTACTACGTTCAGACTTAACAGCACGAAATAAACTGCTAGCCATCAACAGTATAGCTGTTCCAATAGTAGAATACAGTTTTGGAATCATAGATTGGAGTCAGAAGGAAATTGCAGACCTAGATCGTAAAACAAGGAAGATGCTTACTATTCATGGACAGCTGCATCCTAGAGCTGATGTAGACAGGCTATATGTGAGTCGTAAAGAAGGAGGTAGAGGACTCAGGCAATTAGAGATGACTTATGATAATACAGTTGTATCCATAGCCAATTATTTAAGAAGCCGTAGAAATGATAAGTTAGTTAGACAAATTTGGAGATGTGAAAGGCACCCTCGAGTTGGAAAGTCAGTAGTCAAGTCAGCGATAAAAATTGTAAAGACACATTTACCCGAAATAGAAAATCAAGCGGTCGAGGATGAAGAAGAATTACTGTCTACAGATATTAAGGCCATGACAAGGAAGACCTTGAAGGATAAATGGATACGAAAGCAGCTTCATGGTCAATACGTGAAGAGAATTAAGAGGCCAGGGATTAATGAATGCCAAACGTTTGCGTGGCTCACGAGAGGGAAGGTAAAAGGTGAAACAGAGGCCCTGATAACGGCCGCCCAAGACCAGGCCTTACGTACAAGGCATTATGAGAAACATATCCTCAAAATAACAGCAAATGATAGATGTCGAATGTGCAAACAATACTCAGAAACAATAGATCATCTTATATCCGGCTGTCCTCAACTGGCGAAGCACGAGTACTTGGTCCGACATAATAAAATATGCATATACTTGCATCATGCCATCTGTATAAGCTTTGGGATCGCAGTGGAAGAAAAATGGTATAATCACAACCCCACTCCAGTAGTTAGTAAAGATGAGATTACCATAATATATGACTTACCAGTACAAACAGATCGTGAGATATCCGCGAACCGCCCAGACATAATCGTCAAAAACCAACGTGACAAAACCTGCCTACTAATAGATGTTTCAGTCCCCAACGATGAAAACGTTGTAAACAAAGAAGCTGAAAAGAAATTGAAATACAAAGATCTCTCAATTGAAATCCAAAGAATGTGGAATCTGAGGACGAAGATAGTTCCCGTAATTTTAGGTGCATTAGGGACGATCCCAGACAATCTACATGAAAACCTAAATCTCATACCAGGAAGGCACAGGACAGCAGACGTGCAGGAGATTGCTTTGTATGGTACAGCAACCATATTACGTAAGACACTATAAGGTAATGGACTTCGTTAGGATGTGGGTAACATCTTCGAAGTACCATAATGAAAATGACCAACCAAAACCGGCCCACATGGACAGAACCAGTTGAATAGATAGGGCTGTGGAAAATAAACAAATAATAATAATAATAATAATAATAATAATAATAATAATAATAATAATAATAATAATAATAATAATAATAATAATAATAATAATAATAATAATAATAATAATAATAATAATAATAATAATAATAATAATAATAATAATAATAATAATAATAATAATAATGTCTGGCCGGTTAGGACACTGTTGCCAGCAGTGTCAAACCCGCTACCGTAGCAACAACAAGGATAGACGGTACAGCCAGCGATCCTCCAGTGTGTGCCAGGGGTTTTTGTGTCTCTTCCTCCTGGTGCAGGAAAACATATCATGTGCAGAATGTGTACATATCGGCTCCTAGATGGAGTCGTATAAAAAGAGCCACACCCATAATTTCTTTATGGAGATGAATTTTGAATATAGCCGCGGAAAAAGGTCGCTGCCTGAGGGTGATCGTCAGGGCATATCTGGAGCCGGCGCTGGATATGACAGCATGCGGGACGTCGGTGGCAGGGTGCTGAGGAGGCGGGCCCCTGTCGTCCAAGAAGCAACAGCCCCCCAACAAAGTGGTAGCCAAACAACAACTAGTGCCACCGCTGCCGAAAGTGCTGCACAGGAATCTCAGCCAGTGCTCACTCAAGCAGGTCTCCCTAGAAGACGTATAAAGTGGACGGTGTCCATGAATGAGTCAATCATGCGAATCTTCTACAAAGTTACCAACCTAGGTAGAGAAACAATCGGCTACAGACCACGACTTCATACCGCTTTCTGTAGTGAATATCCGGAGATCAAAGTATCTGAGCAGAGAGTGGCAGACCAATATCGAGTGATAATCAAAAATAATCTTATCCCACAACCAAGACTGAATGCCATCAAACATGAAGTGCAGCTTGATCTTATGCAACAAGAAGGGAGTAATAACGAAATACGCGATAATGGTCAATCTGAGCAAGAACAGATAGAAAGTGAACAGCCTGGAGTTGACGACAGTAATGGTCAAGACACAGAAATATTTGGTATATTAATAACTGAAATGGGTAGAGCATATGCCGAATTTGATGGAACGAACCCGCTAGAAAGACCACCATTACCAAAGTTGAAGTCATCTAGAAAGCTTGCTGTGGTATTGTGTCAGTTAAATAAACAGATCCTGCCAGAGTATCTAGCACACTCCAACTGTATAGAACAACTTCACACACTGATATACTGTGCAGCTGTTGCAACAGTAAGAACACTTGGTGTCAAAATGCCAACTCAAAAGATTACTGAAAATTCAGTAAAACCAATAACACCAAAATGGGAAAAACGTCTGGAAAGAAGAACGGCAGACATTCGCAGAGATATCGGACGTCTTACCCAATTCACACGAGGAATAACAACTCCAAAAGTCCGAAAACAAGCTATGGAAATAATGCAACGACTCCACCATCATTCTCACCAAGACGCAACTAACATCAACGAGTGGCAATGCCTTGATACCTTGAAGCAAAAACTGTCCGTATATACTCAGCGATTGAAAAGGTATAAAGCGTCCAGTCACAGAAAGCACGACAATGCGCTCTTTCAACGATCCGAAAAGGCATTCTACAGGAAACTGTCATCCGAACCCCAGGAAAAGAGCAAAACGGTGCCCACAAAGGACCAAGTAGAGGAATTTTGGGGCAAGCAGTTTGGCTCGACAGCTTATTACAACAAGTGTGCAGGATGGATTACAGATGAAGAAGCGAAGAGCCATTATTGCAATCCCATGCAGTATAGGGCATATACCAAACAAGAAATCGTGGATATCGTTAAGCAGTTGCATAATTGGAAGGCCCCGGGCCCAGACCAGATTCATGGCTACTGGATAAAGAAGCTTTGGTGCATGCATGAACAACTAACAAGATATATCAATGACATGCTTTTGAATCCAAATAAGACTCCAACGTTCCTAACACAAGGGCTAACGGTATTAATACCAAAAGATCTCAATAATACAGAAGACCCAGCAAAATACCGCCCAATTACCTGCCTTCCTACGCTATACAAGGTGGTCACTGCTTGTATATCGAAGCGAATTTATGCTCATTGTGAAGAAAACGATATTATTGCGCCACAACAAAAAGGCTGTGCTAAGGGAGCTATGGGATGCAAAGAACAGCTGGCTATCGATTCAGTCATCTGTAACCAAGCCTATACCAACAAAAGGAACCTATACATTATGTACATCGACTATCAGAAGGCATACAATTCTGTACCTCATGAGTGGCTTGTCAGGGTGTTGAGGCTCTATAAGGTAGATGAGCATGTAGTGGCCCTATTAGAACATATGCTGAAGACCTGGAGAACCAGAATAACACTGTATACAAACGGGACCAGCACCATTCAAACTGAGACGATCTCTATCCGAAGAGGTCTCTTTCAGGGTGATTCATTAAGTCCCCTATGGTTTTGCCTAGCTATAAATCCCCTCTCAAACCTCTTAAATGCAACAGGGTATGGATATAGTCTGAAAGGTAACAGGAACGCATCCATAAAACTGAACCACTTGCTGTATATGGACGACCTAAAGGTAATAGCTGCTACTGAGAATCAAATGAAACAGCTGCTAGAGATAGTCGGTCAGTTCTCAGATGACATAAGTATGCGATTTGGGATGGATAAATGCAAAACCTTATCTATACGTAGGGGGAACATCTACCCTGGAGGATTTTCAAGCTGCAGAGGCCAAAACATTGACGCAATGGACGCAAATGACACATACAAGTACCTTGGAATGGCGCAGGCCCGAAGGATAGACCATAAAAAAATGAAGGAAGCTATATCGCAGTCCTTCACAAAAAGAATACGGCTACTTCTGAAAACAGAACTCAATAGTAAGAATCTAGTCAAGGCGATTAACACCTACGCATGCTCTGCCTTGAACTACTCGTTCGGTATAGTTCTGTGGAGTAAAACTGACATCGAGAAACTAGAGAGGCGGGTAAGGACTATGCTAAAAAAAAAGGAGCGCACCATCCTCGCAGTGCAATAGAGCGCACAACCTTACCCCGACAGTTAGGAGGAAGAGGTCTAATGGACATCAGCAAGCAGCTAGCTCAACAGGTACTCGCCTTGCGATCCTACTTCTTTGAGAAGACCGAGATCTCTGAGCTGCATCGCATCATATGCTCAATAGATGACACAACGCCCTTACACCTTAGTAGACGAGATGACCAACCGAGTCACCAAACCAACGAACAGAAGCTACAACGATGGATTGAAAAACCTCTACATGGAAGACATGCCAACGAGATTAGCCAAGAAAACGTTGACAAGAAAGCGTCAAACTATTGGCTTACCTCAGGCCAAATGTTCCCTGAGACTGAGGGATTCCTTGTAGCTATACAGGATCAGGTCATCCCTACCAACAATTACAAGAGGTGCATACTTAAGAACTTGCAACAGTCTGATAAATGCAGGTACGGCTGTCAGGACTCCGAAACAATACAGCACGTAACTGGTGGATGCCAAGCATTCGCTCCAACGGACTATAAGGAGCGCCACGACATAGCTGCCAAAATCATTCACCAGGAGTTGGCATACAAATTCAAACTGATCGAATGCAAGCTACAGTACTACAAATATACACCGCAATGTGTCCTCGAGAACGACAAGTATAAACTATACTGGGATCGCACTGTGCTTACGGACCAATACATAAAACAAAACAGACCTGACATAATCATTGTCGACAAGGGCGCCCAGAAAGTAACTCTGATTGATGTGGCCATACCTAATAGTAACAATTTAACATACAAGCATAATGAGAAAGTTGCAAAATACAGGGAGCTAGAATTTCAAATTAAACGCCAGTGGAAAATGAAGTACGTGGAAACAATACCAATAATAATGTCATCTACAGGGGTGATACCAAGAAGGCTGCTAGAAAACATCAAAGCGCTGGAACTGAGTGAAAACATTTACAAAATCATACAGAAAGGAGTTTTGCTGGCAACTGCCCGCATAGTAAGAAAATTTATGGGAAATGCAAGTACCTAGGGAGGTCACTATTGAGGCTTACCCCTTTGATGCTTGAAACGTCCGGGTTAAGCCAGAACACCCCGATTAACGGGAGTAACAAAGCCCTACGGCTATAAAAAATAATAATAATAATAATAATAATAATAATAATAATAATAATAATAATAATAATAATAATAATAATAATAATAATAATAATAATAATAATATAATAATAATAATAATAATAATAATAATAATAATAATAATAATAATAATAATAATAATAATAATAATAATAATAATAATAATAATAATAATAATAATAATAATAATAATAATAATAATAATAATAATAATAATAATAATAACCCCGCAGGGGGTATCTACTTTTAAGGTCGGGTCTACGACCCGGGCTTAAGGGAAGGTACATGGGGAGCGTCGCCCCCACGGCCCTAGACGGGGAGTTCGGGATTTGGTAGTCTTCTTATTCTGCCAAACCCTGAGCTGCACCATTGTTCGGAGGCAATGTGAAAAATAATTAACTGTAAATGAATACGAGAAGTAAGACGAAACTACGAGGCGGGAAGGTGATTGAGGCTGGTCCCTTCTTCGGAAACCGTCGTGATGCTCAGCCTGAAGGGAGTGAAGGTGTGATGGGTGGCGCATCCTCCCGGATTAACAGCACCCTAGGCTATAGACAAAGGAACGAGAATGGACAAAACCAAGACTACGCAGCTGTGGTAACACAGGCAAATGCAACATACGCCTCTAGATCAGTAACACAAAGTACCCTTCAAACCGGACTCAACACCATAACGATCACAGAAAACCATCCGGAAAGAGCTGCTGGTTACCCTGATGAACATGGTCAGAGCCCAGCATCACTTGAACAACGCTCTAAGGAGAATCGAATAAATCAACTTACTAAAAGGCCTTGGAGTTATGAAGAAATTAACGAACTGATGTGGTGTTACCAGTATACCAATGCAAAGCAATCAATAGGCGAAGCAGAGGTTTATAACATGTGGAGAAGTAGGAATCCTAATAGCAGACCGTACATGGATTCCAAGAAGCTCGCAACGCAGCGCAGATATCTACTGAACAGCGGAAAATTTAATGAAAATATGATAAGAGCGATGAAAAGTAAAGTAAGCGAAGCAATACGGATCGAAGTGAGAGAGCAACGTGAGTTGGACTCAGTGACAACTGAGCCGGATACAGAAGATATGAGTGAAGATCAAACAGATAATACTATCAAACAGGAGATTCTCGAAGAATACGTTTCTACGAAATCTTCACCCATAAACGAGAGACTGAAACTACCAAAACTCCAAGATAACATGAAACTAAAGATGATAGTAAAACAAGCAAACGAAGCAGTTTCACAAATCTTGGAAGAAACACTGATTGAAAATATTACGGAGGTTAACCACCTATTGTATGCGACAGCAAAAATAGTAACAATGAAAGTAAGCCCACATCAAAAATTAACTGAAGAACCAATCAGACACCTACAAAATAGATACACCGAGACTTCTGCCCCCTGGGAGAAGCGAATAGAGGCCAAGATCACAAACTCAGATCCGATCTCTCAATCCTCCATGAAGAAGATAACTCAAATTGAGAAATGCAACAAGAAGAAAGTTAGAACAATTGAAATGTCGATACACCATAAACAATTTAGAAGACCGGGTAAGAGTAGAAGAACAACTAAAACAAAAGATACAGGCTTACGCCCAACGTAGAAAGCGGTATAATAAAAGAGTCGCATTCCGCAGACAGAATTATTTATTCCAATATGACACCAGAAGGTTATACCAAGAACTAATGGAAAAGCTGAGGACACCGCAAGACGTGCCGGGAGAGACAGATGTAGTACACTATTGGTCGGAAATCTGGCGCAGGAAGGACATTATCGACGAGAACACGGAATGGATGAAGGAAAACTATTGACAGTTATCAGCACCTAGAACGCATGACGACGGTGAAAGCATCACGGAGAAGGAAATAAAGGATGTACTCAGTAAAGCTGGCCAACTGGAAAGCCGGTGGGCTTGACAGAATCCATAATTACTGGTTAAAGAAGATAAGTGCCACCCATAAAACATTAGCGGTAATCTTAACAAAAATACTAAAAAAGGAGAAGAAGAAGATCTGCCCACGTGGATGAATAGTGGCATCACGTATCTTATTTACAAGAAAGGAGACCCTTCTAAGCCAGAAAATTACAGACCCATTACTTGTTTATCCGTACTGTACAAATTACTAACTGGGATAATGTCATCTCGTATATATGACCACCTAATAGCTCAACAGTTGATTCCAGCTGAGCAACGAGGATGCTGCAAAGGTTCATACGGATTGTAAAGATCTACTATTATATAACAAAAAGATAATGAAGGACGTACACAGTAAAAAGAAAAATCTATCATTATGCTGGATAGATTATCAAAAGCTTACGATAGCGTACCACACCAGTGGATATTGAAAATACTTAAAATATTCAAATTGACCCAAACATCATCAATCTGTGTGAAAAAAGTATGAAGGAATGGAACACCCAGCTAAAGATACAATCTAAGGATGCACCTATCAATAATACCCCGCAGATTAAATCGAATCTGGAATATTCCAAGGAGATTCACTATCACCTCTCCTGTCTGCATGATGATGTACCCCCTGTCCAGAATGCTAAATCAAAAGCCCAAAATTGGATATAAACTACTCAAAGATGAGCAGCCAACAACACATCTTCGTACATGGATGATTTTAAAGCTATACGCGAGTTCGGACACAGCGCTTGAAGAGCAAATTAAGATAGTTCACGACTTCAGTAGCACAATTCATATGAACTCGGATTAGATAAGTGCGCCAAAGCGCCAATAAAGAACGGAAAAAGTGGAAACAACGGAAAACATAACAGTCCAGGCAAATATTACCATCAAAAACCTAGATGCTGGAGAAAGCTATAAATATCTTGGAGTTTATGAAAACCCAGAATTGTGTAATGATGAAATGAAAGAGACCATCAGTAAAGAATATCTAAGAAGGCTTAGGATGGTACTACGTTCAGACTTAACAGCACGAAATAAACTGCTAGCCATCAACAGTATAGCTGTTCCAATAGTAGAATACAGTTTTGGAATCATAGATTGGAGTCAGAAGGAAATTGCAGACCTAGATCGTAAAACAAGGAAGATGCTTACTATTCATGGACAGCTGCATCCTAGAGCTGATGTAGACAGGCTATATGTGAGTCGTAAAGAAGGAGGTAGAGGACTCAGGCAATTAGAGATGACTTATGATACAGTGTTGATCCATAGCCAATATTTAAGAAGCCGTAGAAATGATAAGTTAGTTAGACAAATTTGGAGATGTGAAAGGCACCCTCGAGTTGGAAAGTCAGTAGTGAAGTCAGCGATAAAAATGTAAGACACATTTACCGAAATAGAAAATCAGCGGTCGAGGATGAAGAAGAATTACTATCTACAGATATTAAGGCCATGACAAGGAAGCCTTGAAGGTAAATGGATACGAAAGCAGCTTCATGGTCAATACGTGAAGAGATTAAGAGGCCAGGGATTAATGAATGCCAAACGTTTGCGTGGCTCACGAGGGAAGGTAAAGGTAAAAAGTGCCAACAGAGGCCCTGATAACGGCCGCCCAAAGACCAGGCCCTACGTACAAGACATTATGAGAAACATATCCTCAATAACAGCAAATGATAGATGTCGAATGTGCAAACATACTCAGAAACATAGATCATCTTATATCCGGCTGTCCTCAACTGGCGAAGCACGAGTACTTGGTCCGACATAATAAAATATGCATATACTTGCATCATGCCATCTGTATAAGCTTGGGATCGCAGTGGAAGAAAAATGGTATAATCACAATCCCACTCCAGTAGTTAGATAAAGGAGATTACCCATAATCTATGACTTACCAGTGCAAACAGATCGTGAGATATCCGCGAACCGTCCAGACATATCGTCAAAAACCAACGTGACAAAACCTGCCTGCTAATAGATGTTTCAGTCCCCAACGATGAAACGTTTGTAAACAAAGAAGCTGAAAAGAAATTGAAATACCAAAGATCTCTCAATTGAAACAAAGAATGTGGAATCTGAGG